AATTGTAACTTCTTCTGACATGCAGAACAGCCATCGGCATCTACTGAAAAGGGGTTTGTCACAGGTTTGAAAGGGTGTTGGCTCATGGAAGTGCCTCACTACTGTTTTTGTAAAGGACACTAGGGCCAGGCAGGAAAAGCACTGCAAGATATTTTCATGAATAAAAAAAAAAAAAGACATTTTAAGTTGGTTTTGTTCCCAGAAGCACAGCTTTCAATGCACACTGACCTTCAAATCCAGCAGTACACTCAGAGCTAGCACAGAGACAGCCAGCCAAGCTCACTGCGTTTTGGGAAGTATCTGTTTCTGTTTAAAGAGATATAGTTTCCGCCAGAAGTTACTCACACCAAACCAAACCACTTTCAGTCGACTCCCTCCACTCCTCCCCTTCTCTGGCTTTCAGAGAGTTATCTGGAACAAATTGCACTTGACACACACTTTTCCAATCCATTTCTGAGGTTGGTTTTTCCCTGTTCACCTTCCATTCTGCTTTTGCAAACATCTGTGTATCCTCCCAAAACATACCTTGAACAGAGGATTTTTTTTTCCTTCAAATACTCATTGTTTAAATTTTCTCCCCAAATTACTTTTGTTCATTGTACATTGAACACAAGTTAATGGTAGAGTGCTAAGCTTCAAGTCTGACCTGGCTGTCAAAAGATGCAATTAACATGAATTTCTCCCTTTATCACACATGAAGTCACAAGACCGCACCTCAAATACTGTGTTCAGTTTTGGGCCCCTCACTACAAGAAGGACATTGAGGTGCTGGAGCGTGTCCAGAGAAGGGCAACGAGGCTGGTGAAGGGTCTGGAGAACAAGTCTTATGAGGAGCGGCTGAGGGAACTGGGGTTGTTTAGCCTGGAGAAGAGGAGGCTGAGGGGAGACCTCATCGCTCTCTACAACTACCTGAAAGGAGGTTGTAGCGAGGTGGGGGTCGGTCTCTTCTCCCAAGTAACAAGCGATAGGACAAGAGGAAACGGCCTCAAGTTGTGCCAAGGGAGGTTTAGATTGGACATGAGGAAAAATTTCTTTACTGAAAGAGTGGTTAAACATTGGAAGAGGCTGCCCAGGGAAGTGGTTGAGTCCCCATCCCTGGAGGTATTTAAAAGACATGTAGATGAGGCGCTTAGGGACATGGTTTAGTGGGCATGGTGGTGTTGGGTTGACGGTTGGACTTGATGATCTTAGAGGTCTCTTCCAACCTTAATGATTCTATGATTCTAAGATAAGTTTAGGCAAGCAAACAGATACAAACTCATACAAAACGTGGAGACACAAACATCCTATTGCATCACCTCACCCTCTACCAGACATAGGTAGGAGTGTTTGTTTTCCTGCTGGACACATGCTGCCTGCAAGCAGATGAAGGCCTGCCAGCACACGCACTCAGAAAAGCAAATAGGTGAACAAATGATAAACATGCAAGGTTCAGAGCTCTCCCTGTAAGAGCGGTTGGACTATGGCCTGAGATCCCACCTGAACACAGAGCTGACATCCTGGAGGATAGGTAGCATCAGGGGCCACTTATCTACAGAGGGAAGGCATTTCACAGGACTTGGGTGAAAGATGGAGGGTGAAAGCTGGCCCCTACAAGGGCTCTTTCCTTTTTCAGTGGAGATAGTGCGAGAGTGCTGTGTTTGCAACCCTCTAGCTCAATTCCCTGAAAGAAGCCCTCCATACCCAACTCTAGAACAGCAGACAAGTTGTGCATCACATGAGCTGTGCATTACCAACTCCAGGAGACACCAGATCTCCCTCCATTGTGTTATTGTGGTGACCAGCCAGTCTAGTATATTAAACCCATTTTCCATACCTTTCACAAGACAAGGCTGCTAAGCAGCTCATTGAGTATTAGTTCAAAAAGAGAAGAAGCTATTTGCTTACAGAGCAGAGAGGGCCACTTACGGTTTTTCTTCATCTGCATTTTAAAAACAAGCTAGAAACAAGCACATCCTCTTCCTTGCAAGTTCTGTTTTCAAAAAGGAGTCCCAGTCTGTGGCTCCTTCTCACCTGGAGTGAGGTACAAAGGCAGCTGGGTCACAACTTGCTCCCAGCATTTCCCAGTGAGCCAATTAGCTTCAGGTGATGCCATGCTGAACATGGTGACTGCAGTCAGCTCCCTTCTCAGGACACCAGGTAATAGGTCCACACCCCCACAAAAGCTCTTTCCCACTTTCATCTCCCCTGTAAATGCACCAGGGCATTTTCATCACTGTGGCATCTTGTTTCTGGAGCATTTGCTGGGATCTAAGATATATATGGCCATGCACACAAATTATCTGCTCCAAAATGAAGCCTGATGCTTCTGCACTGTGCCTTGTGTCATCACCTGAAGCAAGTGAACATGTTTCCCTGCCAGGCTGGTACAATTCACAAGTGAAAAACATCCACACTGCTGGCAAGAGCATCAGACTTCATAGTACACAACAGAGAAGAATAAGCCATCTTGCTTGTACCCACACCTTTAGTTGGGTGCGCACACAGAAAACAAAAGGAGTATGTGGCTAGGGTAGCTTGTGTTTCTCTCCAAGGAGTGCCAGCATGTATTTTTTTTAACCATCACTGTTGATATACTAGTGTCTTGTCAGATCTAGTTCCCACTCAACCACTCTATTCTTCTCAGGGAGGTGAGGAAGGGTGTGTTGACTCAGGTGCATACAATTTGAATTTGAGGCTTTACTCCTTTTTTTCTTTAGTGAAAGCAAAACAAAAAAAAAACCCACACAGTTTTGTCAGCCCAGACAATGAAATCCAATGTTCCTCTGCCAGTAACATACTGTCATTGCTTTTACATTGCCCAAATATTTCCTCGTCCAACCATGAGCCCATGACAGCTGGACTTACCTCACCTCCTGTGGGCTCTAGTCTTACCCAGTAACCTCTCCATACCCATGCCCCTGGCTCTCTAGTACACCTAAACACAAAGGGGAAGAAACGGTTTCCAGCTGGAGTGCCAGATCAAGACCTTTGCTCTGTATTGCATGTTAATACATTTAAAACTAGACTCTCTTGTAAGATGGGTATATTTAGTGTGGAGAAAAAAAAACCCTTTCACTTCCTCATATCTTAACAACATGAATCAGTTTCTACTGCCTTGTCTAAATAAATTATAATATTTGATTATCACAAGTCTTATTGAAGGTTGAGATTTTCTCCAGAAACTGTCTCTGGTTTTGGAATTCTAGGTCTTTAAAGCTATTTTTTAAATCTGGATTAGCTACGTTTTCAAAATGGCAGGCAAGGACCGATACATGCTCCCAAGAGCCCACACTTAGAAATAAGATATCTTGACAGTGTTTATCTACCAATCCACTGTCATACTAAAATATACTTTTTGCCAATTAATCAGCACAGCTGCAGAAATAGGTGGAATACTGGATAATGCAAAATTTAAACTTGAAGTCAAGACAATTCAGGGGTGATGCCTCTCTGAAATTAAGGTAGATTTCCCATCACCTTCCAGTATTTCCCTTTCATTCCCTTTCCTTTCCCCTTCCCTTTCAGTACTTCAAAGACTGTAGTTTCTGTGACTGCTATAGATTAGTTTATTCTGCAAGGAGGAGTTATGAAGTTACAGCTAAGGAAGAATATTTCTAAGCAATATTCAGAAACAGAAATAACACCACAATCAAGAGGAGAGATCTTTCCTACATCAAAACCTAAAATAGTCCCTGCATTCTCCTCCTCCCCAGACTTGCTGACCTTCCCCCAAACCCTTCCCATATCATTATGGAGCATCTTTCTCAGTACTTAGCCCTTCAGTGGCTAACTGGAAAGAGCAGTGTTGCTCTCTTCCCGCTTTCCACATGGATAGAAAGCTCTTCACACTGTGGAAACAGTTAGAGACTGCAGAAGGGATAAGGCTTTTGTTACAGCCTAGCTATTACTGCCCACTAACTTAAACTCAGCTTTTCTAAATACCAGACTTGTCGTCACTTGCAATTTATGTTAGATTTGGATCTATGCAGCCAAAAAAGAGGAAAAAAAGGAGGGTTAACACCGGTCTATTTTAAGCTCTGTCATAATTCCTGTAAAACTCTGGTTAGATTGTAAACGAATCATGTTGGATCTAGCTAAAACTGTTAGCATAATGTTTGAAATTTCATGCCCAGTGCAACACTATTGCCCGTAACTGACGGCTCTGAAAGACCCTGGGGAGCCTGTTTGATGTTTTGTCTTCTTGCAGGAGCATTGCAGAGGAGAAGGTGGTTTGGGGGATCCCCAGGTGAACAGAAGGCAGACTGTGCTTGCTTCCCAGGGCTGTGCTTGCTCCCCTGCAGCAAGGCACCATCCATCCATTACACAGCCCAAGCCAAGGAGGGTGGCTGGTCCAGTCACCCCAGCAGGAGAGGTGGGGGAAAATAAAATTGTGAGAAATAACAAATGAGACAGCCTAGGAAAAAAGGCAGAAGCTATTCGAATCCCAACTAAACACATACTAAGAAGGCACATCACTCTGGCAGACAACCCCTTGATCCAAGGGCCAGAGGTAGGACTGTTACAAACTAAGAGTGGAGATGGAGAGAGGTTTGCTATGGCTCTCCTGAACAACCTCTGCTGACTTTTCCTCCATAACCTCTCTCCTTCCCTAACAGTGAAAATGAATGCTTAACAAGACAACTGCTCATGGGCTTCATCGCATTCTTGTCCTAGTGCCCCTGAACAGTAGTGTAAGGACCTGAATTTTTTAACATATATATGTATGACATGACATACTATTTGTAAACACTGACAGATCCAATTCATCCCAACAGATGGGCATGCAGAAAGCCAGCCTCAGAGCTGCAGGAAGAGCTCCGCAGCGGCCCTCTCACCAAGATGAGGCAAGAGCCAAGGGCTTACTGAAACGAGCAGGTAAGCAGCTCCCCTCCCAGATCTGCCTGCACTGGTGCAAGGCAGGTGCAAGCCCCCAGGGCCACAGAGCAGCGACATTTACACCGGTTTCACCAAGGCAAGAATGGGCCAATGACTTCACAGGATTTATTCAAAACAGAAAAAGCTTTCTTTACAGACATCATGAAACACATCAGTACGGAAGAGGACAGGGAAGGTGTTCTCACCGACGTACGGAGATTGCAGAGCTTCTACTTCCACCATGCCGCTATGGGAGAGTCCTCTCAAGCAGGGAAAAGCTGCCCTCCTCAATTCTGCCTGTGTTTCAGCATGAGGTGCAGAGCACACTCTCCCTCCCCAGTGCTCATGGAGTACAGGGGTAATGCATCTGCTCCCCACCTATTCAGAAAGCACACAGCAACTGAGAGATCACCTCGGTTAGCCTGCAGAGAACTGGAACTCATCTGGCCAGCAGCTACGTGGCATTTCTGTTACCAGAGACGAGCCAGCAAATAATTTGCCAATAATTGCAAAGGTAGACCAGCAGAGAGCTGGAAAGAGGTACCAACTTCCAGTGAGTTCTCCCATTTGTGCCTTGGAGCATCTTCCCTAAAACGTTTTTGAAATAAGGCTTCTTCTGTACCAAGCACAGCACTGTACTGGAGAAGTAAATGTTCACTAAAATTTATTTTAAGTGATTAAAAAAAAGTAAAGATTGAAGTCTTGCAAGAATCACTGAATTGTGAATTGCCTCCCTCTTCCTTTGTCAAAAATGCCACCTGAATGATTTCAGAAGTCTCACAATTTGAAAGGAAGTTGCCATGGTTATTTTACGAACTGTTTATAAAATCAAATGTTTTGGACTAAGAGTTTAGCTTATCAGTACACAGCTTTGACAGCGTTCCCATAAATCAGCCCTGCTCCAAAGAACTCCTAGGACTATGGGAACAAGTTTTAAATGATTTTTCTTGTTTCTCAATGGACCAGGTTTTTGGTTGTCATAACTCCTTCAAAGCAAACCGAACTATATTCAGCATTTGATCCTGACTTGTGCAATCTCTGCTTAGAAAGCCTCTCCTGCATCTCCCATACACCATCATCGGTTGAGATGAAGACAGAGATATCCACCTGCTGCATAAGCCTGGCTCCACCGGGAGTAAATTTATTGCAGTGGCTCATGCAGATACCACGTGGATGTACCGCAATGTATTAACACCACCTTACAGTTGGGAGAAGTTAGGCAATGAGGTCCTAAGAGCAAGTGTTGCAACACGGAAGAGCTGTCAAAACGCGCCAGTGCTTAGACCTAATAAATCTGACAACCCTGATTTAAAAAGTGCTTTGACAGTCAAGAAAAATTCCTAAGCACACTAAAAACTGATCTGCTAGCAATGCACGTTTCGGAAGCCAGGCAAAGTAACTTTCCCGTGAGTATAGATGTCCTCATCTGTGCCCTGGTTTATATACTTCACCAAGTTTTTCTCAAACAGGAGGGGGTGGTAAGCTCCCATGGTACAGGCACGGTCGTGAAACTTCTGGTAATAGTGGCAAATGTCCGTCTGCCGTTTGGAAGGGAGAAATTCGTACACGTGCACTTCGTCACAGAGCGTCATCATGATCATGATGCCTAGGGAGGTAAAGAAAGCAGACATCCCCATGTCAAACCAGAGAATCGATTAAACAGTCCAGTGAGACAGGCAGTCAGCAAGGAGTATCCAGCTCCAAGGGGAAGGGTTTCCTTTCTGAACATTCAGACAAGATGGGGAGAAAACAAGTCTGGCCAGGTGGGGCTGTTTTCTGAAGCCTTCTCTTGCAAAGCCTATGATTGACTTGATTACAGCAGATTGTTTACAGCGCCAGCCATGCCAAAAGGCCAATTTTTAAGAGCACTACCATTCTCTGCGACCCTCATGGAAACTTTGGCATCTGCCAACCATGCACTACAATTAGCTGATCCAAACAGCCCATCTCAAACCTGCTTGGGTAAGCAGTGATGAGATCTTCACCTTTTCCCCACCTGCCTCCTGTGAATGCAGGTGATATGAAAGCGACTGTGCTTGGGAGATAGATGGCTCACCAAGACCAAGCAGCCTCTGTTCTTCAGGCTCATCCAGCTCCCCTGCAGCAGAGCAGTGCTGCCCTCCTGTGTCTTCTGACAGGCACACGAACCACTTGAGGACATTCACACCAGTGCTGGGCACAGACCTGTCAACTTTCTGGCCAGATCAGAAGTAAGCCATAGTTATTGGCTACTTTTCTTCCAAGTGCAAGAAATAGCAAGAACATACTAGGGAAATAGAACCAATGTATAATACCACAGAAAATTCATGCACTATCTGAGACATCAGGGACCACGCATGATCAGAGGAACACAGTTTACAAGACATTACAAGAACCCATCCATGAAACCACTTGTTCAGCTAAGGTGCATTTTAAACACGTTTTCATCCACCTTTTCAAATGCCAATTTTCATTCACTCTTAGGCCTTCCAGGAAACCCAGAGCTGCAAACTGGAACTCGTCTGTGCCTCTGAGTCTGGCGAGGTGACTTGTTTTACAAAGCAGGTAACTTGGCCCAAAGTTAAGCCACAGAGGAATCTGCTGTCTGACGTGGCCCGGTGCCTGCCTTCAAGCCCTTAACTCCAGTTAACAACAATTTTTCTGCTGAAGTCATTGACCATGCTGTTACGCAATTTTTCTGCACATATCGCAGCAATGATGTAATAGGTGCTGGGCAAGAGCAAGGTTGTGGAAGAAAACTAGACATTTGACTGGCAAAAATAAGAAGTTACTCTGTTTACACAGAGGTAGAAGAGTGCCTGTTGCACCAGCAGCAATGGGAGCAGAGACGGGTGCAGAGGAGGGGCTGAAGCACAGCAGTTGGACATCCACGTGGCAAACAAGACCATACGTCTATGCTGTGATTTCAAATACATGTGAACTACCTGAGAAGTTCACTCCTTTTTATTCAGCTGGTCATGAGATCTGCTCTCTAACAAGAAGGAAAAGCTTTGCAACAGCAGAATGTAAAATGAGCCCCTTTGCTGAGAGGCTGGATTTAGCATGCTGACAAACAAGACGTCAGCATGCTGAATAAGGGTGAATACCACAGAACTTTTCAGGGCAACTATTCCGTCTGACCATCCCCAGCCCCCCAATAAGTCTTTAGCTATATATATTTTTCCATATATATATATTTCCATATTTATATATGGAAAGCATAAACAGGAAAGCACTAAGATTTCATCTGCAGTAACCAGATTTATTTGCCTGACAAGATCTGAGTCTGCAGGAGCCATACCCTTCCTCTCGCACCCCATGGGAACTGCTCTGGCACTAGAAGCTAGAAATCCTAGAGACCATCTTGATATCGCAATCTGCTCTCCTGTTTCCACGTGGAACCAGGCCATGTTTCTAACTGCTGTTTCAGACGGGTGCTGCAAACCACTTACTTTAACACAACTGAGCTGCTACTTTAAAGACAGTAAGCTTAAATTTTGGCATAAGACAAACACTGTAAAAGCAACTCTGATAAGCACCATAAATCTGTAGTTGCCTTTGAAAAAAGGCATCCTGGAGAGTTCCTGCCTGCAAACTGAACTAGAAGTTTAGAGGGCAATTATCTTACCAAGCATTCCTGACGATGGTGGATTAGGCTGAATATGCTCCAAGGAATTCTCCTGCAGAATATCCCAGAGTTGCCACTGCATTTTTGGATTCAGGACATAGAAGGGCTGCTCTGGATGTGTACTACGATACGACTTATAGCTTTCAAAAAAGTTGTAGTCTGGTTTTCTGTACCACTGCAAAACAGAAACAAGAAGTCAGACTTTTTATTTCTAGCCCACTCTTTTCCGTAATCAACAGGAAATGAGGATGAGTAAACCTGCTGCTGCCAGGGGGAAAAGGTCCTGCTATACCTACACACACACACTCACTGTCCCCCACCACCTCATCTGCCCCTCGAGTCACTGTGGTGACTTGACTCAGTGAACAGAGCAGGGAAAACCCAAATCTCAGTGAAGGACCATGAAATGAGATCAGCATCTTGTATAACTTCATTCTGCACCCCCCAACACCAGATGATGTTGAGAACTCTGCCTTAAATGTGGCAGATTGCAACCCCTCTCCACGCTGGAGTACAAAGCATCCTATTCTGCAGGCAAGTGTCCCCAACACAGCCTCCTAAACTAGGTTGAGCTGATTTGCATCCTAAAACTTCCCCTTTCAGTAAAAACACTTAGGAAGGGTTTATGTTTTCTTAAAGTCATTTTGAGATTTTTTTCCTATGCTAAAAATATCCCATCCTGGTTTTACTGACTCTTAAACATGCAGTAAATACACCTTCATGTCTCCTGGTTGTGTGGGACTAGACACAAGAATAAGCATCAGTGAGAAAATAGGAAATGCAGTCCAGAGAAAGTAACGCAAAGACCTCTCAGTTACAGAGCTTAAAATAAAGGTAAAGAATGGAGTATTCACTCCTACCCGCTTTCACCCTGAGCCTCCAAAGCTCATCACTTATCAAATAATGCCCTTTTGTACTCAAAATGAAAAGTGAATGCTAGAGGGATTGCAACACCCACAAGTGAAAGTCTAGCTGACACAGAGAGGAGACATTTGCTAAGATCTTCAGAGAGTTTCCCAATCTGTTCATAATGCATCAAGTATATCTCATGTCTGACTGGTGCTTGAAATACCCAAGCATCAACCATCAATAAATCTTACAGCAACTGTCAGAAAGAGATCATCATCTTCTAACAAGATGACACCTGCTGCAGCCAGTATTGATCTCCTCCCTGCAGCATCAGCCCATGGGAAAGTAAAGGTGGTGACCCGTTACACTTGGCCTGAGGCCCTTCACAGGGATCAGGAACAGGCAAGTGTTCCCCTAGGAGCACCCATGCATGGGATACTCTCAGAAGTACATACAGATATATCCATGATAACGAAGAGGTAAACAAGAATGGCCTTAAAATGAGTGATTGCCCACATTAGGAGGAAGCGGGTTAACAGATGCACTTCAAAGCTCATGAATCTGATTTTATTTACAGAAAACTCAGCCTTACCTCATGAATTTCTGCATGATATGGTGCTGGATCCCAGACAATCAAGATTCCAGTGTTATACAGCGCTTCCCTCAGGAACTGCTGCTCCTCAACAGTTACAAGCTTGAATAACAACAAATACAATAATATACAGTATGCTGTCAGAATTAGCAGGCAGCCAAGCAGTAAAACATACCTGAATACAGCCACAGCCACCCCACTGCCGGTTACTGAGCATGCCCCACTGCATGCAGGCAAGGACACAACCCCCAGTGATGCCCTTCCAACACCCACTCCAGTCCTATCTAGCAGCACAGGATTTAGTGGAGAGTCACGAGAAAAACTGCCATTACACTTTACAAGGTTTTCTCTATCCATCCTCAATGCTAAAATAAGGACAGGACCTGCAGAGTGCCCAGACTTGTATGATGGATACCATCGCTACAACTACCAGAAGTAGGTGGGAACATCAGTTGCTGCCACCAGTTGCCAGGACAGTCCAGGAAGAGCCAAATGCAAACACACTGTTGGCTTTATCAAGAACCTTCATTTGAACAAAAAAAGTCTGCACATGGGTGGTTTCTCCTGAACAGCACGAACTCAGGCAGCCAGGGCTCAGCACTGGGCCTGTGAGAGCACCAGTGCAAGAGACGAGACCACAGTACCCAGCTGACCCTTGCACTCTCCAGAGCAGGGTGATGCAACTTGGGCAAGGGAGGTTTGAATCTTGTGAGAGCAGCAATGAGAAGGAAAGCACCACAACAGCAAAGCACACGGGCTAGAGACAGTATCAGTGGAGAGAAACTGCTCCACCAGAGGCTTTCCCACATTGAACAAAACCAGGTGGTTCAGAGAAGTTGCCCTCTACAGTCTGGATACAACCACCACAGCTCGTGACACCCGAGGGCAACCCAGGTCTGCAGCAAAAAGCAAACAGTTAGAATCAAATGAGACAGGGACTGATCTCCTGTCCTCCCCACCCAAAGGCATAACCCGTACAGGCACAGCTTGTAAACATCTGCTGAAGAAAAGCATCATCATAAAAATCAGCTCCCATTTGTCCTGATTTTCTCCACAGATCTAATTAAGAGCTAGCCAATTTATCCTTGAGTATCCTGGCTGCCCCCAGCAGCAGGCTGCCTTCCTGGCTGTCCCCATAACCAGAGCACAAGGATGCTCTGGCCAGCCCAGATGCGAATTATTCCAAAAGCAAAAAGGGTTTCCTCGCATCTGTTCTTAACTCTGTGGGATCAGACTTTGGCCTTGACCATATGTACTGCCTCGTTTCATTTCCTTACAGTAGCTAAAATATCTAGGCCACTTGTTAGCTGGAGCGTGCAACGCTGCAGGTGTGAACTTCTGCCTCTGGTCTGTGGACACCAGAGGCAGAGGCAAGGAGAGGGCACGGCAGCTGGCACCAGCCATTCCCTTAGCCAGGTATGAGTGGGATGGAGCACCGCAACAGGACAAGAATAGGGCAAGGAACATGGGCACTTTATTTTCATTTCATTGTTTCTATTTAAAGGCTAGAAATCTTTCAGGAACTTTTCTGATGTGAAACACGTGAAAGGAGGACTCGAGAGAGATCAAGCATCAGAGAAAGCAAAGGTCAGCCAAGCTAAGCCACATGAGTTGGTGGAGGCACACAAACCCCTAGAGAGCTGTGACAGGCACAAAAGCAAAGGGATAAGAAATGAGCAGGGGAGCACCTCCATAGCCACAAGGTGTTTGCTGTTTCCTTCCCCACACCACAGAGCTGGTCCTTGGCACTACTAGTTATCTGTCAGTCACTTAACCTGTTTGCTGGAGGAATCTGGCTCCCCAGATACCTTTAGTGCCTATTTGTTCTGATTAATAGCAACTGATTCTTTCCAAGCAGTTAAATTCATTTAAATTGCTACATGACTTATTTGTCTTGCATAGCTTTTTGATCCTAATTAGTTAACTGATCTATTGATGTCCTAGTTAATTTGTTCTTTAGCCAATTCACTGTTTAGCAAGTATCTTGCTAATAGAGCCCCTATCCTCCTGGTACGTTTACTGACCATATCAAAATTAGTTCCTTCTCTCCGGCTACCGCAGTCAATGCCCTGTAATCTAAACATGCTCCCCTTTCCCATCACAATCTTACTCCATTCCACTGGTGAGCTATCTCCTTTCCCTTCCTCCCTGCAGACTCATTAGCGCCAGTAACAGCAAACACAGCCAAAGCAGAGAGTGCTCTCTATGATAGCGAGAAGCCAGCCAAGGAAAACTGTAAACAAGGGCTGGGAGGAATGGGGTACTCTAGTCCTCGGTCAGCTCTGCAGAAAGGAGTTATGTCCTACAGAATGACATTGGCACTCCCCCTGCACACTCTTCAGCCCTTATTTTTGTGAGATGCAAGCGCTTTCCCAGGGCAAATCGATGCCTTGCATAAGGCTGCAGGAAAACATGCCATTAAAGGAAGTGGTACTGATGAACCAGTGAAGGTCTAAGAAAATAAGCAAGGCAATGTTAAAGAATATCTTTCTTTAGAACAACTACCAAGCTTGTGGACCTACCAGCCTATCCTCAGATCTGAGGATCCCAAATTTCCCCCTCCCAAATCAGTATCAATCTATTAACCTTTCCCTATGAACACAGATGTACAAGATACCCCACTCTACTGTCAAAATCATCCATCCCTAGATATGTGCTAGAGACTGGTCACCAAATTACAGAAAAAAAATCTTCAAATAGTTATTCAGCAACTTAGGGCCACTGGCCACAGATGCCAAAGGGATACTACTCAATACAGACTAGTTCTGACAGATTAGAGTCAGGAGATCCTGTCTCCTTTATTTTGGGAATAGATTGAGGATTGATCAATAGTAAGAGCCAAAATAAGAGCAGCCAAGCCACAATCCCATCCCTGCTCCCAGTGACCACTTACAACATAAGAAAAGACAAACCCAGAACAAGACAAATTACAGCTTGTCCAGCCAGTACCTTATGCCTGCAAGCAGCTGAAAACAAAATGCAATCAGGCAACCCCACTAACAAGAAGGTTAAAATGATGTCACCATGACTAGAACAGCACTGAACCATTAAATGTCCAAGTGAAAACACAGAAGAAAACCAGGCTCCCAATCCAGTTATCCCTGAAGATAACAGGGACTGCAATTAGAGCTGTTCAGTTTAGAAACTCCAGAAGAGCGCCTCCTGCACTACTCACATGGAGAGCATCTTTTGCACTGTTTAGCAGCTAGATCAACGCTGCATTTTGAGTTAACTTTAGCCTCAAAAACTGCAACAGTTTTGCTCTCCCTGTAAATTGAAGCTTTCCAAGCTGGTGTCTCCATTCAGAGGGGATGGTGGCAGATGAAAAGTGTCACCCACGGGTGCAGGCTGATCTGCATGAAGAACAGAAGCACTATAACGACATGGCTGTAACTACACTTAGTCCAAAATAAGTGCATCCACACAGAAAGTTATTACTGCTATATCACAGCTGTACAGTCGTACCCTCCTCCCTGTGCAGATAACCCTGGTATCACACAGGTCACGTACATGGTTTTGCTGGTAAATGACTTCGTATCGCAGTAAGTTTTGCAATGAGCACATCCTCCAGAGAAAGTTTTCTTAAGTGACAACACCTATCTGACATCATAAAAATACATACAAAAGGGAAAGATAAAATTGAGAGGTCAAACAGGGCAGAGGAAGGAGGATGTCAGCAGCCAGATGTCTGCTAAAACCAGATTGGTTCAGAAAGGACAAACTGTCCCACATCTGACTGGTGGTTTAATGCAGGGGAATTGAGATGCAGCAAGCAGCAGAACAGAGCATGGTAGCAAGGGGAGAAGGCGAGACCCAAGAGCAGAAAGAGGTAGCAACGGCTTTCGCACAAGAAGCAAGAACATACTTCAAAAGACACACAAAATGAACTAGGGAAACTGGTTACAAGCTAGTTCCACATCTTGCCTTTGAAGAGGATGGCCAAGCTCCTGCTGCTGCTTTGAGAAACTTCAAACCTTGTTACACAGCAGCACCCTGGACCCCTCACACAGGAGCAGATGAGAAAACTCCAGGCCTATAAATCTTAGCTTTGGGGTGAGGAAAGGAAACTGCATTTTCAGTTCTGGAGTACAAAAGCTACACTTCAGTCCCCCATCTCTCCCCCTCAGTCTTCATGTGCCTACAGCCTCCTCCCCCTCTTCCTGGGTGAGGAGGTGCTCGTACCATGCTGCAATGCCAGACCAGGTCTTTCATCCAATGACTCTTGGCCTATTTGGTACTTTACTGTCCCACTCCATTCCCTCACCAGCACACACTACTGTGATTTCCTCTTCTCTCTGCCTGTCTACACTTGACAATTTCTCCCCCCGAAATGGGCAAACATGAAGGCTAGCAGCTGTATGGAAGTAGGGTGCAAATACTCTGAGATGTACCTAGAGCAGCAACAGTCTCTGTTGTGAGTCTCACTCTGCTCCTGAATGGATGTCATACTAACCCGGCTAATGTATTGCTAGACATGGTCGTAACCACTGAGGGTCTGCTTCAAAGCCTGTTGAAGTCCAAAGAAAATTAGCAGAGGGACAGCCTCATACCTAGAAAGAGCTCTCAAAAAGTCAGGGAAAATTTAAGTCAGTAAGCAATGCCTTACATTAAAGGTACTTTCTGCTGTGCTCTGCAATGAGGTCCTGGACCCTCCGACTCACCCACCAGAGTCCATACCCTCTCCTGGCTGCATGCAGGCTACAGCTTTAAAGGTGGGTCCTTTGCCAATTGTCTTCAGCCATTTAACAGCCCTGGTTAATGTGTTACCTACAGAGTCTGCAGCATCACTGGGTAGAAAAGAAATATTATTCTTTTATTAAAAGCCAAATAAACTTTCTTCATTCTTCATACCCACCTCTGGGGCAGGCACAGCTCGTCTCTTGGCACACATCGGTTTGCTGAGCAGCATTAGCCGAGCTGCGGTGCCATTCCTGCCTCATGCTCCCAAAGCACAGCAACAAGCATGCTGGCCTTCCTGTACTAACAAACAGGCTTTGAGCCAAGCCAAAAACCAAATTACCTTGTGCCTGCTGTAAATTGCAAGCAGGCTACTGCAGGTTCACTAGCACGTGCTAGTTTAACTGCACTAACCTCAGATTTACCAACTGTCATTTGTTACAAGGAAGGACATTCCCATTCTACAGCCATCTGCTAGGGACAGGAGAAATCGGATTGAAAACCCTATTCTCCCCAACTTCATTTTAAAGACCTCCCAGCAGCAGATGAACCCAGAAGCCCCGTAGATGATGTTATTTCAGGCTGCCGCTCAGTTCCCAGGCAGCACAGGGGAAGTACACAGCTCTGCCATGCTTGGCCCATTTGGCACACATTCGTCAGACTTACCTGGGAGTTCACAAGACGAATTGTCGTCTTTTGCCCCACATCTTCTTGAAACCCCTTGACAGGAGCCCCATTGAATCGCAAGACGGCATCGTGGCTGTCTGAAAGCAAAACAGAGTGAAAACCTGTGAGCTGACAACTGTTTTTTGAATGATAGAAGAGACATGTAATAGGTTATTCACCTGCATTTCTAATACAATCTGGCTAGTCCCTGGCTTTCCATGTAACAACTAGAAGTACCAAGCCAGATTCTGTGGAAGAAGTTGTTAGTCTAACTTCATGATCAATACACTTTTAAAAATTCACTTTTTTAAACTACAATCCGCTGGCAGGCTGAGAGACCAGCCCTAGCATTTTCTCTGCACGGAGGAGTGCGGCACCTCCCTCTCTCTCCTTCCTTCCAAACACTTCACCAGGAGATAGACCGATATACAATTAATTTTCCACATGGCTAGCTGCAAACTAAGGAACTAGGAAATAATGGCAAGCCAGCGTCCTCTCTTGCAGCCTGGAGGTTGACCAATCTGAGAAACATGTATAATAACCACAGTGGAAAATGAAGCTAGCTTCAGCCTGCCAGCATACCTCCCACATTACAGAAATAAAACCACTGCCGTGCATTTAACGGGCACAGCTTGTTACATGCCTTGGGATTCACTGCATTTTCCTCTGCTGGCATCATCTCTTAAGATAGCACAGCATTCCTCCAGCACCCTCCTCTGCCTCGGCACAGCCAGCCAGGCTGCCATAATGCCACGGAGCCAGGCTGCTGCTGTGGCACAGAGAGTGTACATGCCCATCACCCTGGCACCCTCGCTTCTCCATACCTACCGGCTAGATTTGGATAGGAAACCTTTTATGCGATCAGAGGTGTTCAGCTGCAGGAGCAGCTTCCCTGCCTTAGCGCCAAGGCCACATGACCACAGCTCACACCAGCTACAGCTAGGTCTGCGGGGAATTGCCGAGTCCCCAGTCAGGGCAGAAGGGCTCGCCTGGTCCAGAACTGGGTCTTTTTGAGATAATTTTCTTGAAAACAGGGGTGTTCTCACAAGCAATGCTGGAGGATCAGTAATCACTGACAGCAAAGGCTAGTTTCTCAGCTACTTTATTCTCATAGGCAAGTGGATCTTGTTTAGAGCCCTTTCAAAGCAACACACAAAACCCGGAAAGGTGATGTTTCCGAAAAAAACATGTCCACACTGAGAAGCAGCTCTGTAGTTAACACTACAGTCCCTTAACTCCACATCCTACCTCACATCAATGAGAGTACAGGGTTATAATTTCCCCATATAACTTCAGCCAGACACCAAGTGTTATTACGCCCTAAATTTGCATTTAAAAAGGGTGTTTAACGACTGCACAGGCAGAGTAGCTGGCTCTCTGCAGCACTGTTTCCAGTTGGTTGTGCTGCACTCAGTATTTCCCATATCAGACTTTTTCACTGGCAATTCATAACCTCCAATAATACCAAGAGCCCAGTAAGAGAAGAGCTGCTTGTTTACAAGCTTCTCCCCGTTCTGCTCTGCCAGCCTCCCTTATATTGACTAATCACTCATTTGATATCTTAACGTAATTACACAGAACAAATATTTCCCGACCATTTAAGGAATAATAACTCAGCAATCTGTTGTGCTCATCTATGCAAATGTTTCATTTTAAGCCTGTCAGATGTAGTCCATTTTTGGCACTGTCCTCCAACAAAACCACGGCTTTTCCTACATGGAAATACGTCAGGTCAAAACTGGAAAAAAAACATACACAAAACCATCTAATACTTCTGAACCCTTCGATATTCACCCTGCCCAGCTCAAGGCTGCAAGTGCCCAAAACTCTACAGGATCACTAGCAGAGATGACTGCTTGAGCAGAAAGGTTAAAGTCCGTGATCCAGGTGCAAGGAATGCAAGCCAGGGACACCAGCAGGAGTTAACGGCATTTGCCTCAGGCACATTACACAGTGACCTGTCCAGCATCCATCCCTTTTGATCTGGAACAAGCTGGTGCTTCAGTTTCGGGGACAGGCTCAAAGACCTGCCGTAGGAACAACGGAAATGGCTTTCCACATCTGACATCCTCTCAGCTGTGCCACAGCCAGAGCACAGCCCATTGCACATCTTGGCTGCTCCAATACCGAATGCAGCGTTTGCATGGACTGCATTACAACACGCCGTAAACACCATCCTCAGCTCTTGAGAGGGTCCCCTTACGGAAGAACGAGCAGTTTTATCAGTATACTGGAGTCTAACAAAGACACCCTTGGGCACAAGCCAGCTGTGTCAGAGGAGAGTGTTCAACAGAAGGTCACTTCTGTGGAAATCTTTAGCTACTGAACTTCAAGAGGCACCTAAATAAGCCAAGACAGGTACTCAAAGAAAAAGTCAGAACTGGCTTCCCAAGTCTTGACCTACCTGGCCTCAAACACTTGTAAGAGGCAGAAACAATTACATCAACCAACTCTCACCTGTAATTTTTACCAGGAGGCAATGCTATCCTGGTTAATACCACCACTACTACCTTTTTCATCACATCTTTCATAACATTTTAACACACTTCAGACTGTTAAACTTCACCTGCCCTGTGGAGCACACGAGTTTCAGGGCGAACTTTTGAGCAACTACCAGAAGAAAACCCTGACCTTCCCACAAGCATCTGGGGACTATGATTCTGAAGGCTTTGCCCAGGTCATTCATGAATAAAGTATTAAAGGGCTATCGACTTGTTTCAGAGGATGAAGGCTACTTCCCGCTTAGTGCAGCCCAAGGGGACCTGATCCAACAGACAACTTAGGGACACACCGAAGTCTGCAAACAATTTCCACCAGAGAGTACACCCATAGGCTTTAAAACTTCTGCAGTGAAGCTGCAGTTCAGCAAAGTGTGAATCTTAATTAATTGTTGTTTGAGGCTTAGTTAAGAAAGCTGAGGGAACTGCAAGCACAGGAGAATCTTCTGCCAGGCACAAAATCCTGAGTTGATGGCTGAAGAGTTGGTTTCCCCTGCATGCTGCTTGCTTAAAGATACAAAATGCTTTGGTATCAAAGCCTTCTGCTTCTTTATAAAAGACAGGCAGTCTTTCATAATCCACAGTACAAGACCCATGTTTCAGCATTTATTAATTAATGCATTAACCTCAGATAAATATGGTCAGATAAGACTTTCCAAAGCATCACCAAACTTAGTCTAAAGAAGAGATAAAATAAAGCCCTGTAAAGTTTTTCGATGGTCTCTGGGCCACTCAAACTCAGCCACTGCCTTATGGTTCAGAAGGAAGCAGTGCCACTTTTGGAAAGCCATAAGCAAGAATTACAGTGTCATTGAGGTTGGAAGGGACCTCTGAAGATTGTCTGCATCCAGCCCCTCTTCTCAACACTAGGTCAACTAGAGCAGATTGCTCAGGGCTGTGCCCAGCGGGGTTTTTTTCCCCTTTAGTGTTTTCTTTTACTTCTCTGAAGAAGTCTTTCTGAATAAAAAAGTTTTGACCATTGATTGTGGAATGAGCACACTGGCATTACTCAACCCATCACAAGTCCTCTTAAGAAACAAACACTTGCAGAATCAAGACCTCTCCCTGGTACCCAGTGTTAGTGCTACCCTCTGATGATGCCAACACGATCACGAAAATTGGAAGGACTAGCTGGAATAGAACTACCTACACATAAGTCATGTCCTCTCAGCTCAACCCAACCTCTTCCACTCCCTTGGGGCTTGCCCATTTTGGTCTGCCCAAGGTCTAAGGCTCACAGGCACTGTGATCTAGGGCATCATAAGGCAGCCTACACTGTGCAGTGTGTACACTCAGAGAGGACAGGAGTGTCTGATCATTATTTCCATCTCCTCCTAGGCTATAATGTTCACTAACTTTAGAAGAAGTTTAAGGATAATATTTCAACTTATTTTTAACACCTTTGTGACCACAGCAGAGACTTACTGGTAAGAGTGTGACAGTAGGTTACTTCTATTCAGTGTAAGTTATAAAACAATGTTACTTGAATTTATGTGAATAGAAAGATACCAACCTATCTCTTGTCCCAAATGAGATGATTTCAGAGACCCTGCTGAGGACACAACAGCACAGCGACCCAGGTGGCCCACCGTTTCATTGAGGCTTTTCCCTGGTAGGTATTGCTGCCATTCAGAGGTATCAAAAGGACCATCTGATCCCTGTATCATGGTCACGTTCACCCTGTCCCGTAGCTGGCAGAGCAGCTTCTCTGGGCTGAGTTTAGCAGCGTTCCTCTTTCCGTTGTAAGTCACATTGTACTTGTTCATGGACAGGTAGTTTTTTCTGACCTTCTGCAGCCTGGGTATGAGATTTCTGGATGAACTGTCCTTATCCCATACTTTCACAGCATCTGCTTTCTTGGACTTTTCGGCTGTTCCAGAGGTGCTGCCTTTTGCTTTGTTGTGGCTACTAAACCAGGTTTTGGGTATCTGGCCCAATTCACTGGCTGCTTCATGGAAAAGGCCCTGTGATTTAAGTGCGTTCCATTTTTCCAAAGTCCTGTCAACATGCAAATCATCACTCTTGGTCTTGAAAGGAACATAGTAGCTTCTTCTCGTCTCTCTCCACAGGCAAACTGTCAGAGCTACCAGTATCATCACAAGAACACACATGAACTTTTTCAACACATTGATGTGAACCATAGTGTACGGTGCATCCAAATGGGACACTGAACCGGGCAGGAAGCTGGCCCTAGGAGAGAGGAACACACCTGTCAGGGCTGCATGCACAGGCATGCATATATATAAATATCAGCGTGTGGGCAACGGGAGGGGAGAGGGAGAACAGAGGGGCAATTTTAAAATTTCAGGTCATTTAAAGATCTCATTTCAAAGTCCACCACCTCAAACATCACACAGATAGACTTGAGCTGGCTATTAGCCATCGCATGCTATCTAACAGTGATCTAAGGCCACTGCCACTCAAACCATTCTTCTATTCCCTTCCACAAGTGACAGTCGAGTTTAACACAGCCAGTATCATACCAGCAGCAGGGTAAGCCTCCACCTTGCTTTCCTTCACCTCCCACCTCAGCCAGCCATTATCCAAATCCCACCACTAGCATTTCCAGAACTGACCTTCTACTTGACCATAGGCATGAACACTAATGAAGCACATAATGAGGCATTTAACTGTGGAAGAAAAAAAGCTGTAAGTTCATGAACACCAGGAGCTTCACCAGCCTGGTACTGACACACTTGGTGACCTCACAGGAAACTTCTGCAAGCCTGCAGTGGGCTGAGTGCACTCCCAACATGAAATCTCACTAAAACAGCTGCTGGGAGCCAATTAATCCACAGTAGGGTCTGAGGCATGTTTGGATTCATAAATGCACCTTGATAAACATTACTCAAGGTATGTTACCCCTGGAGAAAGCAATGCCAGACCCTGTTGTACAGCACTGCCTGTGCTCTTTTGCATTACCTCATATTAGCAGACACCTCCAGCTCCCATCATGTTATTAAAGGGGGCAATTCAATAGGAGGAGTGCCCAAAGGGCAGCTCAACGTAGGCAGCACAAGGGGCTGGTGTAGGAAACATATGCTGAGGCATAAACACCTCGTGAGCAGCACATGGGACCACAGAAGACAGGAGGGCAGCTGCTCATTTCCTTACGTGACTGCTCCAGGATGCGTCCGAGAACATGGGAGCAGTATAAAGACAGCAGGTGTCCCAGTGCTCCTCTGGAGACAAACACATGCAAATCACTACCCATCCTAGAGAGGCACTAGTAACAACTCCCTTCTTGAGCAACTTGCTGAAAGCAAGCAGTGCTAGGCCGTGGTATTGAGAAGTTACTGAGCTACCAACACAGTACCTGTGGATAAAGCAGCAGCTCTCCAACTCAAGTCATTTTTGGCTGTTGGCAAATTTTCTTTAGAGGGTTTAAGCAGGATATCCCAAAACACAACAGTTCTGTGATGCACTGAAGAGTTCAAGAAACACCTGCAAAAAAAGAGGGAAAAAAAATCTATTATGGAAGAACTTTGTGGTTCTGGGGATGAGCAAGCATTTCCTCAGATAAGCCCTGAGGTCCCACAAAAGCTGTTACCCAGGCATGCAAGGGCCAGCAGCAAACACATTAATACCACATAAGCCTTTTAAACGCTTAAATGCCCATTCAAAATGGGCATCTTCCTTCTTAGTCTGAAATCTATTCTCAACTAAAGCAGGAACCACTTCGCAGGCTGCCTGGTCTACGCTCCCACCAGACTGACAGCCTTCTCCGTGGAGAAGGCTCTGAGCAGTGGATACACCCATAATACAGTGAAGGAAAAAATCCCAATGCTGATGCTTAACACAACAAACGGGGAAAGGAAAGGAAAAGCTAACTTTTCCTAGGGTAATATCTTACTGCCTATTTTTGGGCAATTCATGCACTCTTCCTCAAATGCAGCGGCAGAGAAGACTCCCTGCTTTTTTGGAGCAAGTTGTATGAAAAATTGCTGTATAACATATGTCTTAATCCACAGGTCTTCACAAAATAGACAAATGTATTTTAGACTTTACAGCTTCACTCTACCAAGGAAATGCAGCAAGAGAAAGGGAGATTTCACAGTATTATACAATTCAAGAAGTAGCTTGCTTTCGCAGGAACTCTGAGTCAGTACAATGCCACATAAGCTAAATCACAAGTGCTACCCTTCACAGGATTAAATACTAAATTAAAGCATCCTAATGCTGACTACTTATATTTTTTTAACTCTATTTTGGACATGAGGAAAAATTTCTTTACTGAAAGAGTGGTTCAACATTGGAACAGGCTGCCCAGGGAAGTGGTTGAGTCACCATCCCTGGAGGTATTTAAAAGACATGTAGATGAGGTGCTTAGGGACATGGTTTAGTGGGCATGGTGGTGTTGGGTTGACGGTTGGACTCGATAATCTTAGAGGTCTTTTCCAACCTCAATGATTCTATGATTCTATTAAGGAGCTCAACCTGATTTCTTACAGAGCACCCCACAATTAAAAAGCAAACATTGTTTTACCTCCAAATCTTAAACAACAACAACAAGATTCAAGAAGCACAAGTAATTCCAGCTTTTATTGAAATCATTCCCCTGCCTTGACAGACCATCTCACTTTTCATTTGCTTGAGAAACAAGCGCTAGAAAGGCACGCTGAAGTCTTTTTGGCCAGTATGGTTTCAGACACAGAGGTACAGCAGTCTGGGGAAGGGGGAAGTGTCAGGAGGGGATGCAGGACATCACCGCACTCTCTTCTGTGAGGAGTTAATGCAAGGTTCCCCATGCTGTTTACAGTTCCTCTTCTGCTGTGGTCTCTGCAAGACACTCTCACCCCTGCCTCTCCCCCATCCCCTCCGCAGCTGGAGACAACAGTGGGCCAGCCCACTTGGTGTCTGCCTGATGCCTTCAGGAACAGAAAGAGCCACGTGAAGGCAGAAGACTGCAAAAGCCACTTGCTAAAGGGCAAAGCACTGCTGAGTCAGCCTCCATGCTGTCAGAGGCTCTGCAGGCAAACCATACTTGGACAGCAATGTTTTCCAAATCGAGAGAGAAAAACACCGAAATAGAGTTGTCCGGTGTCAGCTTAGTACAAAACTCTGAGACACCTCCCTCCGACCACACTTCGTGCAGCCCCCAACCTGACTTTATCCACGCTGTAGTACCTTACACAAGATGATGGTCTGGCTTCCAGGAAACTCAACCAAGATCTTCCGCACAGGCAGGACAGCGCCTCCACACCATGGAAGGTGCCCCGGCTGCCCTGCTGCCCTGCAGAGCAGAGCTCTTCGCTCCGGGCCCTGGAGGGCTCTGCCATGCTTTTGATTTCAGAAGCCTCTCCTGAGGGGTTTCCAGGTGTAGGTGATAGCAGGCACATCTCAGTACCATCAGCTTTTGTTTCCCACAGCTAGGATAACCTAGAGGAGTGGCAGGTTCATCACAGTGGAACAACCTTACAACATTGCAAGTTCCTGCTGGGACACTCCTCCTGACACCACAAAGCAGAGGATGCCCAACAAGTCACAACACCTCCTCTCCTCCCTGGGTCACACAATGGAACCTGGAAAACTCACCTTCAGCACAACGTGATCCCCACCTTTGATGACTGTGCATGCTGCTGTAATGTGAACAGTTACTTTGCTTTGATTTGTAAGTTGACAAAGTAGGTTCTGCAAGCAAGTACATTTTAGCAGAGCCACAACATTTCAAGGTACCTTTTGTTCACCATGGATTCACTGCAGTTCAGTTTAATTATTACTACTACTTCATAAGATATGATTTTATTTTGTTTGCACAAGTAGCATCCTAACATGAGGTCCCTCTCAAGCATTCTGCCATCAAACCTTTTCTGTGGAGTGGGAAGGCAGCTGCTCTTCCAGGCAAGGTAGCATAGCCCACAGGTGGTGCTCTCTTTCCACACCTTTAGATAAGTCACTTGTGTGTGCTTCTGTATCACAGCAGTTAGTACAAACGTGCTCTTCTCGAGGTGACGGAAACTTATCACCTACATAAAGCACAAGGTGTCAGCTACGAGTACTAAGAAAGAAAGGACAAAAAAAATACCCCAAACCTATAATAATACTTAAACAAATAGCTGCTGCCTTCTTGAAACCTAGAGCTGATGCAGCTGTGGGGTGCAGCACTGGCTGGCTGGCAGACAGGCTAAGCCCACACAGCAAGTCCTCTGGGGGTAAATTAATCCTGTGCAGAGAACGAGTGATGCAGTATCTTCAAGGCAGTCAGGGAATTATATCCTGTCCACACACTCTTATACTTAACCTTTATTGTCCAAGTATCTCACTGGACTCAGGTCTTAATCATCAAAGTACAGAAGAATGTGAAAGTCCTGCCGCCTCTTGCATCCCAGACACTGCTGTCCGCCTGGGGAGCTGCAGCCAGCAGTGCTCTGGCAGAGAACACCAGGCAATCCCCATTTCCACAACCCACAGCGGACTTACCCTAAAACTGCTAACAATAGTGTCTTCACCTCATTAAACAGAAAGTCTGTCAAGCCCTTACCTGTCTCCTACAGTGACCCACAGCAGATACACAGAGAAATCACGTAAGTATGGACCAACGTATGAATATATTTCTCTTCCAGTAAATGCACACAGCTTCCAAAAAGCTGTGTCATCAGCTGTACTGATGCCCATCCTCTGCACATTTGTTTAATTGCTTCTTGAAACCACTCACATTTCCCAAGCAGCTCGAGGCAATGAATTCTGCAGTCGCACACCATGCAGAGACAACCCCTCCTCTCTCTGTTTCACACCGGCAAACCCAATTGCACTGACAGTAATCCTTCTGCCTTCATTTTCTGCACATTGTTCATGGTTGCATCACCTCTCCTAACACCCTCCTTTCCCCACTCGTTGCTTTTCCAGGCTGAATCCTGCTTCTTCCAATCCCTCCTTGCACAGCAGCTTTTCCATACCTCTGACTCTCTTGGTCAACTTCCCCGGCACTGTTTGCAGCCCATGAACATCCCTCGAGGCAGGCACACCAGGGGACACGCTGCACAGGCTCAGGCCACATGGTCCAGCAGCAAAATAACAATGGGGTTGCTTTGTTATCCTTCCAAAACTTCCTCCACTTCTACTTCCCTTCCTGATTGTTTCTAAGCCCTGAGCTCTAGGCTGTCAATAATGACTTCAGGATATTTTGCAAGCAGCACCGACTCACTAAGAGTTGTCCCCAGCACAGGGCGGAGGGCAGGAATAAAATACGACTAAAGAGCATTATCTTACCCCTGCTAGCACAGGCTTCCTTTGTCGTTGTGCTGCCCAGCCACCCAGGATCACCGGATCCCTCTGCAGCTGCTCGGTGTTTTCTCTGGTCCCGGCAGCCCTCTGAAGACAAAGCCAGCCAAGCCCATAATCTAGCCCTTCCTCCTCTCCTGTGCAGATCCGTTATCGCTGCTCAATGGCAGAGATCTCAGAGCAAATCCCTGTGGGATTTCTGTGATGTTGTGAAACCTGACCGCTTGGTTTCCTACCCACTAGGCAGTCACTAATCCAGGATGGGAACTTTCTCATCCCACAACAGCTTAGGGATCTTTTTTTTTTTTTTTACTGAGGCTCTTGGTGAGCAATCTCATCAAAACCTTGAAAATTCAAGTATGCTGTTTCCCTCTCTCGAGGTTCACTAACTTCTGAAAATGAGAGAAGAGGAAACAGGCAGGTAGATTTGAAACATGACTCTTCTGCAAACAGATGATGAGACTTCTCCATTAATTCTTACATATTCTACAGCTGTTAGTTATTTTTATTATGTTTACTGGTCTGAAGCAATGGATCCCACCAGAGTCCCTCTGAAATGCAATCACATCAAACAACACCTTTAATTTAAACAACAATTTGAGAGATGCAACCCCCGGGGATGGGCACATGCAGGGATCACATCCACCTGTTCTACTACGCCTCTCCTTGGTGCCTCATTCACATCATCATCACATCTCATCAGCATCATTCACCTGCAGTTTTCTTGCCTCTGATGTACATGCAAAAGCTTTTTACTTTAGCAAGTTGTTCCTCAGTTTTTATTTGGGTAATGCGATAACTATTCCATATTTAAACTTGGACCATTTACATTTCTTTCCAGGTTTCCTTCATTTATGCATTTCCATCTGTACCCACAACTGTGCTGTGCCTGAATACAAAGCAGTAAAGCTTTGTTCTCAGCTTTTGCTGGTGTATTTTTGAATGTTTTTATGCTCCCCCATATGAACATTTTATACTTCAACTACACCTTTTTATTTTTTTTTTTTGTACATTCTCGGTACTAACCCTTTCCTCCACCTAGCACCCTCTGTAAAGCGCCTGTGAAGAGAGCAGTGGCTGGTAGCAGGGGCAGAATGAGTTCACGTGAACGTGTGTGAAAAGAGGATACCTAAAGAGGAAAGACATGGAAGTGTAGGGCAGGAATCCCTCCATTCAAAATAAAATAACACACCCAAGGAAACTGAAGAGGAGAAAAAAATCGG